CTCCGCCTCCCGGGTTCCCGCCATTCTCCCGCCTCAGCCTCCTGAGTAACTGGGACTACAGGCGCCACCACCACGCCCGGCTAATTTTTTGCATTTTTAGTAGAGATGGGGTTTCACCATGTTAGCCAGGATGACCTTGATCTCCTGACCTTGTGATCTGCCCGCCTCGGCCTCCCAAAGTGCTGGGATTACAGGCGTGAGCCACCGCGCCCGGCCTGCTGTATTGCTATTTTTATTGGGATTTTAAAAAGTATTTTTGACCAGTTGTTGGCTGGGTCCTCAGATGTGGAGTCCAGCGACACAGAGGGCTGAGGGTATAGAACACGTTCCCTCTGAGATCACAGATGAGACATTCTTGCTATCACCACTTGCATTTCACACCGGACTGAATGTTCTATGCAGTGCAAGTCCTAGCCAGGCAAGAGAAAGGAAATAATAGACCAAAGGATTGCGAAGAAAGAAAGGTGAGCCTCATTTTTGATAGATGTGATTGTGTACCTTTGATTGGGAGGGTATATCTGAGAGGCTTGGGATATGCTGGTGTTGGTGAAATATAATTAAAAACAAAATATCCTCCAAACCCAGAGATCTTCTCTACCCAGGTAGAAGAGAAAGAAAATAGTTTTATTAGCGGGTAAGCATTAAACCAGAACGTGATATGCGAAGAGACTACAAAGACAGAAAAAAAAAATCACCCTTTATATAGTCAAGCAGATACAACTTATTATACACCTGCTCTCAAGATACACAACCGCCAGTTCTCAAGTAAGAGGACTTGATAATGCTATTTGCTGTACATGGTTCACCCTAAATTCACTTGGTTATTGGGATAGCCATCTGTGTTCACTGGCTTAATCTAAGGGAAAAATAAACTTCTTTTTTATTTTTATTTTTATTTTTTTTGAGACGGAGTCTCACTCTGTCATCAGGCTGGAGTGCAGGGGCGCGATCTTGGCTCACTGCAAGCTCCGCCTCCCAGGTTCACACCATTCTCCTGCCTCAGCCTCCCGAGTAGCTGGGACTACAGGCGCCCGCCACCACGCCCGGCTAATTTTTTTTGTATTTTTAGTAGAGACGGGGTTTCATCGTGTTAGCCAAGATGGTCTCAATCTCCCGGCCTTGTGATCTGCCTGCAGTGGCCTCCCAAAGTGCTGGGATTACAGGCATGAGCCACTGCGCCCAGCTAAACTTCTAAAATATCACAGGAGGTCGATTTGCTACTTGGAGTGAGGTGCCCACCAAAGTTAGGCTCCATCCCCTCCCAACAAGAAGCTGGGGAGAACTGGGTGCTATCTTCCTCGATGCTTACATTTCCAAGGGATGGTTTCCAGGTCCTTAAAAACACCTTCCTGGGTCATAATGCCGGCCGCAGGCTTCCTTAGCTTTGAAAAAGATTAGCGTAAATGTTGAAGAGAGACTTGTGATGGCAAAAAGTTTTCTAAAGTAAATGCTCTAAGCAAAGGGGACAAGGAGGAATCGCTTCCTGAATTTTCAACAGGAAGAATTAATTTTTTTCTTTCGATTTGTATTTGCCTGTACACTGGTAATTATTTTTTGATTGGAAACCTGTTTAGACAGACAGGTTTACCTGTAAAAAAAAAAAAAAATGAGATTTTCTGAATGTAATACTTTTAAAATAAAAATACCAAGGAAAAATGTTACACAGGCGAAAGAAACACTTGTGCACCACGTGAGGTTTGAAGTTAAGAAAGCGACACGGTCAGATCTGGTGCTAGAAAGATCCTGCGGGCACTCATGTGGGAGATGGATGAGAAAGAGAAAGGGTGGCGTCGGGGGCAGAGGCAGCCATCAAGAGCAGGGCCTGAAGCCTGGGGATGGGGGAGAGGTGGTGGTTTTGTCACTGGAAAGGGGTCCCGATCAAGACCCCCAGAGAGGGTTCTGGAACCTCGTGCAAGGAAGAATTTGAGGCAAGTCCATAAAGGGAAAGCAAGTTTATTAAGAAAGTAAAGGACTAAAAGAACGGCTACTGCATAGGCAGAGCAGCAGCAAGGGCTGCTGGACCGAGGCTACTTACAGTTATTTCCTGATTATATGATAAACAAAGGGTGGATTATTTATGAGTTTTCCAGGGAAGGAGTGGAGACCTCTTGGAGCTGAGGGTGCTTCCCTTTGTTAGGCCATGTAGGGGAACTTCCTGATGTTGCCATGACATCTGTAAACCGTCACGGTGCTGGTGGACACGTCTCTTAGCCTGCTAATGCGTTATAATTAGTATATAATGAGCAGTGAGGACCCCCAGAGGTCACTTTAATCGCCGTCTTGGTTTCGGTGGGTTTTGGTAGCTGCTTTACCGCAACCCGTTTTTATCAGCAGGGTCTTTGTGACCTGTATCTTGTGCCAACCTCCTATTGTCATCCTGTGACCGAGAATGCCTTAAACTCCCGGGAATGCAGCCCAGTAGGGCTCAGCCTCATTTTACCCAGCCCCTATTCAAGATGGAGTCACTCTAGTTCAAACCCCTCTGACAGTTGGGTGAGAAATCTGGGCAAGACAGGGTCAGATTTGGTGACGTCTTGGATGTGAGGTGCGAGAGCCAAAAGGCATTCCTGACTGCCTGGGATATGGTGGTAACGAAGACGCGGGAAGCTGGCAGTGACGGCGGGTGTGGACCAAAATGTCAATTCAGGAGGCAGGCAGAGATGTGAGTTTGGAAATTAGAATGGAGAGACAGCAGTGGCAGGAAGCTCTAGGGCAGGAAGGGAAGGCTATCAGCATCAATCATCTCCATGGTTCTCTCCAGTTAAACCCTTCTCAGGCACCACCCCATCCAGGAAACCACTGCCCAAGAGGAAGAACACGTGGAACTTCCTGAAATGCGCCTACATGGTGATAACCTACCTCTTCGTATCCTACAACAAAGGGGACTGGGTAAGAAGGAGGCAGCACAGAGGGGAGGAGGGTGAGGAAAAGAAGCAAAGAGGAGGGAAGTAGGGGCACAGAGGAAGCGAAGGAGGGAGCCACGGAGGTGCCAAGCAGGAAGTGGTGGGAGAGCCCTTCTGTAAAACTCTCTCCTTCCCGCTCTTCCTCCCTCCCTCCATCTCTCACTTCATTATTCCTTACTCTCTCCTTCTTCCCTCTTCTTTCTTCCTCTCTCCCTCTCCTTCCTTCCTCCTTCCTTCTTCTCTTCCTTTTTTCTTTCCTCCCTTAATTCCTCCTTCTCTCTCCTCCCTCCCTATTCTTTCCTCCTTCTCCCTTCATCCCTCCCTTTCTCACTTCCTTTCTTTCTTCCTCCATCTGCTTCCTCCCTTCCTTCTTCCTTCCCATCCTTCTTCCTTCTCTGCCCTTTTCCTTCCTTCCTCCCTTTGTTCCTCCCCCTTTCCTCCCTCCTTCCCCCTCCTATCCTTTTCTTCCTCCCTCTTTGCTCTCTCCTTCCCCCTCCTATCCTTTTCTTCCTCCCCCTTCCTTCCTCCTTCCCCCTCTCTTCCTTTTCTTCCTCCCTCTCTTCCTTTTCTTCCTCCCCCTCTTCCTTTTCTTCCTCCCCCTCTTCCTTTTCTTCCTCCCCCCCTTCCTTTTCTTCCTCCCCCTCTTCCTTTTCTTCCTCTCCCCCTTCCTTTCCTTCCTCCTCCTCCCTCCCTCCCCCTTCCCTTTCTTTCACCCCTTCTTTCCTTCCTCCCTCCCTCATTCTCTCTCCCTCCCTCTCTTTCCTTCTTCCCTCCCTCCCACCTCTAGACTGGGATAAATGCTACTCCCTTCTGTACTAACAGTCCCACGGGCTCCTCTGAAATACTGTCACTCATTCTGCCTCTCTCTCCGTTGCTGTCTCTTGCTTTTTCTAAGGGACATTCATAAGGACCAAGCTTGTTGCTGGTTGCTGGGGACTTTGATGGTTGAGCGACCTTCAAGAAGGTCCTAAGTTTGTAAAGGAGGCAGGCACCCACAGAGAGAACCAGATCACCGAGTGGTAGCACTTCACGAGCAGGTGCTAGTGCAGGAGGCAGCGGCGCTTACCTCAGCCTAGGGGAAGCGTGGGCTCATGGAAGGCTTTCTGCAGGAGGTGACACCTCCACTGTGGGTTAAGGACAGGATGGAATTAGCCAATTGAGGAGGGGAAGCAGGGGAAGCATTCCAGAGGGAACACCATGTGCCAGACTCAGAGAGGTGAACATAAGGCAGAGTGCAAGAAATTACAGGCCAGGCCGGGCGTGGTAGCTCATGCCTGTAATCGCAGCACGTTGGGAGGCCGAGGCAGCTGGATCACTTGAGGCCAGGAGTTCAAGACCAGCCTGGTCAACATGGTGAAACCCCATCTCTACTAAAAATACAAAAAGTAGCCGGGCGTGGTGGTGCGTGCCTGTAGTCCCAGCTACTCGGGAGGCTGAGGCAAGGGAATCACTTGAACCCAGGAGGCCGAGATCGCACCAGCCTGGGTGACAGAGTGAGACTCTGACTCAAAAAATTAAATAGGAAAAAAAAAGAAAGACAAGTCATCCTTCATTCATTGATTCAGTCAGTCTTCAAATATTCACGTGTGTAGAAGACCCATCCTAGACGCTGGGGACTCAGAGGAGAACAGAACCCATAACGTCCTTGAGTCCCTGAAGCTCCCACGATTGGGACGGCAGGAGGACTGCAGAGAAACAAGCAACCAGCTCCAAAAAACATAAACTAAATCAGGGTGATATCACAGAGCGAGCAGGGCCACGGGCAGCCTTCCCCAGGCAGGTGACGTCTGGACATAGAGATGAGACAGTGGAAGGATCTTGCCTTCAGAGCAGCTTGGGGGTAACCACTGTAAGCAAAGCAGGCCCAGCAGACGCCCAGGCAGGGACACGCTGAGTGCCTTCAAGGAACCGAAGGAGCATCTATGTGACCTGAGAGGAGCAGGGGGGTCCAGGTCATGTAAGGTTCTCATAGACCAGACGAGAAGGAAGCTTGTGTTCTAATCTGGTGGACAGCCATCAGCGAGATCCCTTCTGAGTTACGAAAGGATCCTTCTCGGTGCTGCCTGTGGAGAGTGGATCAGAATCAGGGCAAGAGTGGGAGCAGACAGACGGAGAGGAGGCCCTGGACCAGCCAGGGCAGGAGACGTGGCGGTGCTGGTGGAGATGAGAACCGTGCCGCAGTTCTACAGGAACTGCTTATGCGCTGGGTGTGAGGAATAAGGGAAATGGAGAGAACAGGGAGATGAGCCTGAGACAGAGACTTGAGTTATGCCAGTGGTTCTGAAACGGGGGTGACGTTGCCACCCAGGGGACACTCAACAGTGTCTGGACCACAGGATTGGTTGTGACAGCTGGAGGAGGGCGCTCGACTGGCATCTAGTGGGCAGAGGCCAGGATGGCCACTCAACATGCCACACGGCCCAGGACAGTGCACCACGACAGAAATAACCCGGGTCAAAACATCAGGAACCTGAGAGCGAGAAACCCCAGCTTAGGGGATTGTGCTGCTTACGGGGATGAGGAGGACTGGCTGGAAGACGAGGAAGAAGGTGGGAGTGGTGAGAGGCGGGCTGAATAGTGAGACCCATCCTAGACGCTGGGGACTCAGAGGAGAACAGAACCCATAACGTCCTTGAGTCCCTGAAGCTCCCACGATTGGGACGGCAGGAGGACTGCAGAGAAACAAGCAACCAGCTCCAAAAAACATAAACTAAATCAGGGTGATATCACAGAGCGAGCAGGGCCACGGGCAGCCTTCCCCAGGCAGGTGACGTCTGGACATAGAGATGAGACAGTGGAAGGATCTTGCCTTCAGAGCAGCTTGGGGGTAACCACTGTAAGCAAAGCAGGCCCAGCAGACGCCCAGGCAGGGACACGCTGAGTGCCTTCAAGGAACCGAAGGAGCATCTATGTGACCTGAGAGGAGCAG